CGAAATTAGTTTAATAAATCGTTTTAAAAAATATTAAAAAATATATTGTCAGAAATAGACGCATGGCACATTTAAATGGGATTGAAATATATATTAAACCTCAAACAATAATCAATCGAGACTACACCTCCAATAGCCAAATCGGCCCTATAACAAAATAATCTAGAAAGGAAATACAGAAATAAAGTGAGCTACAAAGCTCAATGTGTCATCTAGATTTAATTAGATAATATCAAAACGCATAACATTCAAGCATAAAGTAATAAACAAAATAATAATTAAACAATATTAAAATTTAGTTATTTTACCAACGAAATACCATAGCAGAAATTCACAATCTTACATTTCCTTTCGGATTAAGAGGATATGAACATTAAATTACAAAGAGATATCCAAAACTGAATACAGAAATCAGAATGAGGATTTAGCCCTTCGTAGAGGATCTCAGTTAGAAACAGGATAGGGATGTTGTCCTCTGTAGAGGAGCCCAACATAAGCAAAAATTAAAATTGGGATATAGCCCTCTAAAGAAGATCCCAAACAGAAACAAAACAGGGATATGATAACATACATAAATAGGACAATGATATAATCTCATACAGAATCAGGGCAGAGATATAATCCCATGCAGAATCATGACCAGAATATAATCTCATGTAGAATCATAAATGCATCAATATACAGATTAAAATTGATGCAACATTAATTAGAAATTGGTCATAACCCAGATAAATGTAACCAGAATACATGTGTGTACAGATAAAATTATAAATCATAACATCATATAATATTAAAGGTATCAAACAGATCAAGGGAACATACCTATATTAGCTAATCGATGTCGACTAAGCCTTACGCTTCCCACAATTGATAGCACTAGGTACTACGAACGAGAACCTTAAAGATAATATCACTCTAAGAATATGTAACCATATAACTAATCAGAAATAAACTATTAAATCACTAAATAACACTTACACATATCTCGAGACAAACAGACCGAATCGAATTGAGTTGAACGAAGGCGGTTGGGATCTATCAGAGAGCGATACAGAGGTATGTGATCACCTTTAGAAAATAACACCAAAAAATAAGTCCAAAATCCCACAATTTACTTAATACAATCAAGACTTCAAGCGATAAATGACGCAAAACAGGGCTTTCTGGTAATAATTTTACAAAACGAACTGCGAAAACGAACTTAGGATGTCTAAAAACATTAATGTATAGGTCAACATAAAAAGTCAACAGTTAACGTTCAAAGTCAACGGGTCAGGTAAATAGGTCGGGTCAAAGTATATCGATTAGGTCAACGGTTCAACCAGTTTGATTAGGTTGGTTTAGTCAAAGCAGATCAATGTCAAATCAGTTAACTAATTGAACCGATAGAAACATTCTCATTCACGCACGGCGGCGTGTGGGGCACGTTAGAGTCTTCTCCTGCGGCCGAAAAATCACGGAAAAAATTTTAAAACCATTTTAAGGAACTGGGAGTAACTTACAAACATTAGTTTTCTGAAAAGATCGACGGAGATTGAGTTTTAACGAAACCCGAGTATTCGAACCTTCAATAGTTGCAAATGATAATGAAGAACGAAAATCCCAGAACATCAAACGAACGGGGTCACAAGACGAATGCAATGATACTAGAGGTATCGAACACCACCTCACGATTGGCGTAGAATCGATGAAAAACCAAAAACAAGGAGAGAGATGTGTGTTAATGGCGAGAATTCTTTTCAAAATTGAAAATTAAGAAGGGGAAAATACGTGGGTAACCAAATACCCTATTCTGATTGGGTAAGCTGCAGAACAAGTCCTCGCACACTTGAGAACTTATGTTCATGCACCGAAATTTCTCGACAATTTAATTTAACCCAATTTTGTGGTGCTACGTGGCCTAGTGGGCCAATTTTGTCCACTGTTAACAACTTTTCAGGCCTTGAACTGGGCCAACGTAAGCCCAAAGAGATTGACGAGTAGACAGGCAAAATGTAAATCATTACATAAATCTTTAGTTGTCCTAGGATTACAAATATAGTGTTGTCCAAAATCATTCTTTTTAGAGTGAATCACGTGGTGTTTGAGTGAGAATTTAAACAAAGTCGAATCTAGTGTTATTACAAGAATTCGTTCATAAATTCAAATTGTCGTACAAAACCAAAATTTTATTAAAACTCGTAATTACAGAAAAAATTGGAAGAACATTTTATTATATGGCATATATGATCCATACGAGTTACTTCTCAGAAAAGATATCATAACAGATCCAAAGATTCAGTTAGAATTTTTTTAAAGGTAAAAATGAATATAATACTGAAAACCAAACATGAACAAAATTTCTTTAAAAACAAGAAATTACTTCCTAAGCAGGATAGTTGACCTAAAACATCATCAAATCAAATCAGCCTAAAATAAATTAATTATTGTTTAATTGTAACTAAATCGACTTTAGAAAAATTCCATAACACTGAATGACGATGGTTAATTAATTAATGATTAGTTGCTAGAGTTCAGATCTTACAACCAAAGTAATCAATAAAGGTGTCTAAACGACATCAGATATCCAAACTTATGACTATATATCAAGTATTGAACTATGATTACGAAAAAGTAGTAATTATCCAGAATAGCATCGATGTTTCGATAATTTCAGAAAATATTCCAAAATCTTGTGGCATGTTTATTAATAAAAAAATCTTTTTTTCATGAAAATAATTTTACAAATTTATTTTAAACAATTTGTCAAAATTATATCGGGCTACACAATCTGAGAATTTAAACATGTGCTATAATAAGATTAAATGTAACCCCTTAGACATAGCCTAGGAGTTGCAATAAAATCAAGGTGACCATGTAGATCACAAAAATGGTCTACGAACGAAATTAGTTTAATAAATCGTTTTAAAAAAAAATTAACAAATATATTGTCAGAAATAGACGCATGGCACATTTAAATGGGATTGAAATATATATTAAACCTCATACAATAATCAATCGAGACTACACCTCCAATAGCCAAATCAGCCCTATAACAAAATAATCTATAAAGGAAATACAGAAATAAAGTGAGCTATAAAGCTCAATGTGTCCTCCAGATTTAATTAGATAATATCAAAACGCATAACATTCAAGCATAAAGTAATAAACAAAATAATAATTAAACAATATTAAAATTTAGTTATTTTACCAGCGGAATACCACAACAGAAATTCACAATCTTACCTTTCCTTTCGTATTAAGAGGATATGATCATTAAATTACAAAGAGATATCCAAAACTGAATACAAAAATTAGAATGAGGGTTTATCCCTCCATAGAGGATCCCAGTTAGAAATAGGATGGGGATGTTGTATCTGTAGAGGAGCCCAACAGAAGCAAAAATTAAAATTGGGATATAGCCCTCCAAAGAAGATCCTAAACAGAAACAAAACAGGGATATGATCACATACATAAATAGGACAAGGATATAATCTCATGCAGAATCAGGGCAGAGATATAATCCCATCCAGAATCAGGACCAGAATATAATCTCATGTAGAATCATAAATGCATCAATATACAGATTAAAATTGATGCAACATTAATTAGAAATTGGTCATAACCCAGATAAACGTAACCAGAATACATATGTGTGTACAGATAAAATTATAAATCATAACATCATATAATATTAAAGGTGTCAAACGGATCAAGGGAACATACTTATAATAGCTAATCGATGTTGATTAAGCCCCACGATTGGTAGCACTAGGTACTACGAACGAGAACCTTAAAGGTAATATCACTTTAAGAATACATAACCATATAACTAATCAGAAATAAACTATTAAATCATTAAATTATACTTACGCATATCTCGAGACAAACAGACCAAATCGAATTGAGTTGAACGAAGGCAGTTGGGATCTATCAGAGAGCGATACAGAGGTATGTGATCACCTTTAGAAAATAACACCAAAAAATAAGTTCAAAATCCCACAATTTACTTAATACAATCAAGACTTTAAGCGATAAATGACGCAAAACAAGGCTTTTTGGTCATAATTTTACAAAACGAACTTAGGATGTCTAAAAACATTAATGTATTGGTCAACATAAAAAGCCAACAGTTAACGTTCAAATTTAACGGGTCAGGTAAATAGGTCGGGTCAAAGTATATCGATTAGGTCAACGATTCAACCAGTTTGATTAGGTCGGTTTAGTCAAAGCAGATCAAGGTCAAATCAGTTAACTGATTGAATCGGCATAAACATTCTCATTCACGCACGACGGCGTGTGGGGCTCGTTGGAGTCTTCTCTTGCGGCCGAAAAATCACGGAAAATTTTAAAACTATTTTAAGGAATTGGGAGTAACTTACAAACGTCAGTTTTCTAAAAAGATCGACGGAGATTGAGTTTTAACAAAACCTGCGTATTCGAACCTTCAATAGTTACAAATTATAATGAAGAACGACAATCCCAGAACATCAAACGAACGGGGTCACAAGACGAATGCAATGATACTAGAGGTATAGAACACCACCTCACGATTGGCGTAGAATCAAAGAAAACCCAAAAACAAGGAGAGAGAGAGTGTGTTAATGGCGAGAATTCTTTTCAAAATTGAAAAATAAAAAGGGGAAAAATACGTGGGTAACCAAATACCCTAATATGATTGGGTAAGCTGCAGAACAAGTCCTCGCACACTTGAGAACTTATGTTCATGCACCGAAATTTCTCGACAATTCAATTTAACCCAATTTTCTGGTGCTACGTGGCCTAGTGGTTTTTTTACCCACCTGGCCTATTGGGCCAATTTTGTTCACTGTTAACAACTTTTCAGGCTCTTGAACTGGGCCAAGGTAAACCCAAATAGTTGACGAGTAGACAGGCAAGTTTGATAGTTACTTTGTTTGGGACTCGAAAATGATGACGTGGCTAAGACTGATTGGTGAATGCTGCGTGGAAGGCCCATCAGTTGGTATTAAAACGGAAGTACAGTCGAAGCAAAGAAGAAATTGGACAGAGCACAGGCAGGCGTCTCCTAAACCTTGCTTCCAAATCACGATCTGAATTCCGAGTCGACACAGGTGAGTCCTGCTTCTTCTATCAGATCTTTTAGTAGATACGTTTGTTTAAGTGATGTCTTCATCTTTTACTCGGATAGATCCATCTTCTGGATTACTTGAATTTAGATCTGCTTTCTCGGATTTGATTCTTTTACTTCGATTTGATCTATCGCTTACTGAAATCTTTGCTCTTGATAGTTAAGTAGGATTTAGGGCATGCATGAACCCTTTGAATTGAATTACATTAAAATTTGATCAAATCTTAAAATTCTGTGGCTGGGAATCTTGTTGTTCGATTGAATATTTCGATTTGGCTTGGAGCATAAAGCTTCTGCAAATTTCTTTGGTTCCAATCAACTATTTTATTTACATCTTTCTTTATATGTAGGTTAGAATAAATCACTGGGGAGCTTTGTGAACTGTGTATTTTAGCCATCTTTCTAAAACTTGTTTCCTTCTGGCTTATTTTGCTGTGATTATTTGTAGTTATTAGTAGAAATGCATGTGTTTTACCTTGTAAATCGTGTAGTAAAACTCAATACTTCTGGGAAGGGATGGGGCGAGACGTCCTGTAAAAATCTCATAAAGTTTAGATATTTTTCGTTATTTTGGTTGTATTTTCTATTGATAATATGTTTTGGCATTGATAATCTATTTTCACCTACTAATATAAAGTTTTGAGTCTGTCCCTCTAATGCTTGGCATTGGCAGCCGTTCTTCACCAATGCTCTTATCAAGAAGTGTGTAATACTAAGTGTTATGTGTAATGTTGTCTAAAACCGGAAGTTGTGAAGTTTGTTGGTTGTTTGCAGAAATGGCAACTGGAACAGCTCCACCAAGAGGAAGTGCGGCAGCGGCGGCAAGTCTGCGCAGGAGGAGAACAACAAGCGGTGGGAGTGCCTCAGGAGGTGCTGCTGGGACTATGCTTCAGTTTTACACAGATGATGCTCCGGGACTGAAGATCTCTCCAAATGTGGTGCTTGTCATGAGCATCGGTTTCATTGCTTTTGTTGCCATTCTCCATGTTATGGGAAAGTTATATTTTGTTCGTAAGGATTAGGAAGTCTTCCAAGTGCGTGGCGAAACAATTTACTTTGTTCTGGTTTTCAGTTTCGCTTATTTCTGGATTTGATTAACCCTGACTTCTCTTATGGAAAATAGAAAGTCCCCAAAATGCAATTTATATCGCAGGATGATAGATATTAGCTTCTCATACTCAATTTCAACTTGAATTATTTATGCTTGTGCTGATTGGAGTTCATGCTCAGTTTATCCGATATTAGTTAAAAAGCATGAACCAATCAACTTCAAGGGTAGACTAATTATTATTAATCCTTGAGATTTTTGAGTTCGAATATAATATATTAAAAATATGAGTGTTTAATCTTTAATTTGTTGAAAATTATTTTTGAATAGGCACTATCGATTAATAAAAAATATAAATTGAAAAAATAACACCTGGTAGAGTCCGTAGCTACTCAAGTCTATCTAGGAAATTATGAACCGACTTTGAAATGGATTATTTACGTTTGAGCTGAGTTCGAATTATCAATGCATTCAGATTCTCTCGTGAGCAGCGCAATTATATTTTCTACTCTTTCCTTGAACGGAATCCTATTTTCTTCTTCGATCGCCTATAAAATAAAGTTAAAGGTAAATATATATTCTCCACATAGTGGTATTTTTACTTGTATCTTTGAAAATGGAAATGATGTTTAGCATGCGTCTTTAATCAAGTTTAGTGGTTAATATACTTTTTCCTTGTTTTTATAATAGAAAATATTTCAATTATTTTCTTACTATTTTTAAATTTTAAAACCATTCAATTAAATGCAATTGTAGCCTTAACCAAAAAAATATACAAATATTTCATATAAAACAAGGCATTTCGTCGTATGACCTCTTTACTTCACATTTGATAGACGGATAAATATCTTATGGGCTTTTGTACATACCTGATTTTTTTTATAAAAAAAATGTATATTGCATTCAAATAATTCATTAAATTAAAAAAATTGACATCAAATATTAATATACGTTTTGTTTTTACATATTTGAAAATAAAAATATGATTAGATTTTAATAAAATTAATTGAAAGACACTTTCACTTGACCCAGATATCAAAGAATTCGAATAACCCATTGCTTCTGGACTCCGATAATAAGCCATAAATATTAAACGGATTTCAAAATTTAAAATAATTAGTTTTGAATTTTACATAAACCATATCTAATCCGCTACAACCTCTAAACTGACTTGTTTTACTAAAATATTAATAAAATTATAAAATACATTTTATATTAATATTTATAAAATAAATTTAAAATCATTTTTTATTATTTATATTTAATTTGGGCTAGACAAGCCCGATGTAAAAACACTCTTACCTGAACCCATTCTAGGATGGGTCACCTATGTAGACAGATCTAATGACTTGAATATCCACCAAGTTGTCCGAGATGCAGGACAAATGAAGAATAAGCGACAACAGACTTTAACTTCAATGGCTTGAGTTGCGAGATGCACAATTGACAAATTCTATACACGAAACTGTACAATAACTACCACTGCAGTGCTTTTTGGAATAACTAGTTCCTTACGGGGAAACTAAAAAGAAGGCCTGATATTCTAAAAACTACAGTTCCATTATATTATGCATTAAAAAAGGAACAACTAAATTCAGTGTGCGCTGTCAGAAACCCAACCAGAAACCATACCCTCGTCCACAGGTTTCAGTCCCCCACATGACCTTGCAACGGATTCAAAGAGTTTTTCAATCTCAGGCGCACACCTGATGAACGACCGATTCCAGAAGTTGTATCTTGGGTTCTGAAATATAAACATCAACATTTTCAATGCATATTTCATACGGAGAACTAAAAATTAAAATCACATCCAGGATAATTTTTTTCTACCTTTATGAGCTCAATGAAGGTAATTAGAAGACCCCAAGGATGAGGCTTATTAACAATCAGCCGTTCCAACAAAACTCTCGTAATTTGCTCCTGTATAATTTCCTGTTGAAGGCAATAGTTTATCCTCTGTCCATTTGAAATGAAATGCAATAATAACGTAATATTATGAAACATAAATTCCCACCTCATTCGCTTCGGCAAACAAGTATAGTAAGATGAAGGAGAAGTAATGTGTGTGGTTGTTTGGATATCGCAATTGGTTGGCAATTGCATTGAGAAACAGATAACGCCCCTCAGTATCAAGGTCCGCTATTAGAGTCTGGAATATATCCAAGGCAGCACTAACCAAAAACACACTCATTGGAGCAATGCTTGCTGTTGACTGTGCATGAGCTACTCTTGACTGCAGTTGCTGAATGGCCTAAAAGCAGTTTTCAACAAGTGATCATTAAATGCCAGATGGAAATATTTTCAGTAGAAACAAGTCGTTCAATATTCTACCCGGTTCCCTATAGAAGGCTTCCATAGTGAAGCGGAAGAAACTGTAGCATACCTGAATACCAACATAAAGCACTAGTGAATTGATCAATGGTACATTATAACGGGTACCAGCTGATGCTGCCTCGCTAGGTGAAAGGAGTAGTCTTTGTTTCAGTTCAGTTAGAAATGTAGATCCTCCTTGGGGCCTCATCTGAAGAGAATTTTTCAGAAGATTTTTAGCAAATTATCTAGAAGGGTCACTTCAAGAAGAGAACAATGGTTCCCGAATCTGAAAATGTAAGATGAGAAACGTTGGCCAAAGTAAACAATGAAGAAACCAAAATGTTTAGGGATGGGTGAGACAGAGGCTAATAAAGCTCAGCATACATTTTTTTTTATAAGAATTGAAGGCCTCGTTAAAAACCCCCTTCGTAATTAATGGAGCTTGGGGAAAGCTCCTTAATCATAGGAAGGAGGAAAAGAGTGCCTTAGGAATTTATTCAACAACATAAAATACATAAGAAACAACCAGGACAACACCCCCATCTAACACAGAGAAACCTACAACACCCATAACCACAACAATCCAAAAACAAATACAGTAACTTAATCTAAACCGACAAAGCAGCACCCTAGATCAGAGGATGAGTCCTGTTTACCACACTACCAAAACTATTACAAGGATTGAGCCAATACAAAACCCAAAGGAAAAACACAAAACCGTACAACAATAAGCCTGCAACACTCAACCGATCCCCTGCAACACTCAGCATACAATTGAAGTGCATCAATTACCTTGAGATACTCATCTACTTCAGCCTTCATCTGTTTTGCTTTAAGAGCAGCATCAACCTCAGAGAGGATGCGAGGGGGTTCTCTGATTTCTGGAAGTAAATCAATCTGCACAAATGATTACAGAATTAATTTCATTGATTAAACAATCTGGAGGTGGGAAAGATCGAGCACGAAAAATTGATACCTTTAAGTTGGGAGTAGATGGATCTGGTAACCTCATATTGCGTGGAAAAGCACTAAGGATAATGTTCCGCATCTGTATGCAGCTCGGAGGAATCACATCACAAAAGGTAAAATGACAATCACACAGGAACTCAGGAAAGTCGTGAAGCAGAACCAGCAGGACCCTTAGTGTGCCTTTATAGAGAAAATGAACCTAAATAGATATATTGCAACAGAATGAGTAGGATCAGCATAATTAACTTATAATGGACACAAATAATGAAATCAGTATTTAGAAAAAGGCAAACCGGTCCACCGAGCTCAGCATTCCTCAAGAAAGGCTCCAGGAACTGGAGCAAGTCTACCAGCAACCGTTGGATATAGGGCCAGCCCTTCTGAGCATGCCCAGTAAGCAATTTTGGCATGAAACTCCAGTGACTGACAAGCTCCAACCATGCAAAGCTATAACAGCAGTGCGGAACAAACATAAGCAATAAGACTGACAAATAGCATCTGCCAGATTGTAAAATTAATGCCAAATATTGATACTCTAAGTTATTGCTTTTCCAACTTCAATCTACTAGATGCAATTCTCAGGATAATCTTCATTCAAATGAACCTTAAAACATTAATAAAAAGCAAGGTTTATGCGAATAGGAAAGTGTATAAACACATCCGAGTAACCATATTTTGCATAGTTAGTTCCGATACACTGAATGATATGTGATAAATATAAGAGTAACAGAAGCCAACTCACTCTAAGCACTTCAGCAAAACTTATCCAAGATAGTAAGAATATGACCATAACTAAACCCATCCTTCACAAGGAAAATATTTAATTCACAACTCTCACCTGAAGGCAGGAACTTTAAGGGGATGCAGAGCATGAAAAGCATTGGCAAAGGCTGTCAAAATCTGCAACAAACACGAGAATTATGCTATTCAATGGAAAACAATCATGACAAGGAATATGCAAACTAATCATACCTGAAAATTCGCACCATCAGGGACAGGGTCCAAGGAACCAAGATCTAACAGCCAGTTAATAAATAATCTGAAATATGGTCTTGGATTAAAAGAAGCTTTCTTATCCTCTGCCTCTTTTTGAATAACTTTCAGAGTCACAGTTAAAATCTGTTCGGCACCATGAATATTGTCATTAAAATCCTAGCAAAACAACATGCATACAAACGAAAGGCAAATAATATTTACCTTGGACAAAAGAAAGAGTTTACTTAATCCCTGTTCCACTGGGCAATACTAAAGAAATCACAAAAAATGTCCAAGTTAAAACATTTGAAAGGATAGGTACATAATGAAAAGAGATTATATTGATATGATGAAAAAATGATATAGTAAGACCTTAAGGATTGACAGCACAAGTTTTGCATAAATATCAATGGCAAGGAAAGAGAGAGTTTGCACTTGCTGAGGTGACTGCAATGTGCCAGAACTCATTCCTTCAGTAGATAGGCAATATGCAACAGAGAGTTCCTAGCAATGAAAGAAAAACAAAAGATTGATTTCAGTCTCCAGTGTTCTTTGGTGAATTTAGATGTAAAAAGGAGGAAAAGGATAGGCAAGGGGGAATTCACCGTGATATTACGGAAAAAGCGCTCTGTCATATCATCCCCTTTAAGCAGTCCATTTTGATGCAATTGTACAATGAAATGATTACAAGGCCCATCATTTGCTCCAAGATGCTCATATATCTGGCACCATTCTGCAAACAACATGGAAACCTACAAAATATTTAGAAAGGAAGTTAACACCAAAGAACTAAGGGATATGCCACTTTTCCTTCCATGCAGGAGTACACAAGATAACATGTGGTAGAGTGCCATTAGAGAGAGAGATGACTTAAGCACGCCAATAGGGATAGTGAAGACTTGCAGGAGGTTTACTTGCATAGGCACTTTCATACATCGGTCACATACAACTATATGAGCTTTTAACGGGCATTTTTGTTAATTAATACAGGTAGGTTTGTATTTATGACACCATTTTTTTAAATACCCTTAAAATCATCCTAGAATTATCGCTCCAACACTACGATATTTTTGCATAGAGATTAGTAGCGAAATCTATAATATGCACAAAGCACACTAGCAATTCCTTTTTAGATCTTGAAATAAATAGTCACCTGCTCCTTGAAGCCGGCAGGGTCTGGTTCTAGTGCCTCTATATTACTATTATCTTCCCTGTTAGCTGGGACAAGACCAGGTGCCTGCTTGAACAAGAATATTTGAGTTAGACATAACCTTAGTATACTTGAGAATTAAATGGGAAAACATGGCATACTTGAGAATTAAATGGGAAAATATGGCACCTTCTTGTCTCTAGACTGCCTAACCTTATCCTCCTTTCCAACAGAGACAGTGGATAAAACAGCCATGCTTGAAGAAGGATTTCTGATCATCTCAATCAAATGCTGCAATGATTCAGGAGATCCAGATTTTGAAGCAACCTGCATGTCCATAACAAGTACGTTCATACCAAAACAATAAAAAAAAGCGGGTGGGGGGAGAATACAAAAGGGAGAACGATGAGACCAACCTTTGCCAACACATCAACAAGATTGTGGAGTTCTGAGATAACTCTGGGTTCATCAGTAACCAAAGTTTGAAGAAGCGATATTGCAAATTCCATGGCAGCTTCTGCATATTTAACTTGATTAGATGACTTTTGTCTTGCAGAAATAAATTCAGTGAAGATGAAATTATTTATATACATACTATTCCTTCCCCCGTCAATAAGTTTTGCCATGTGTACGTTGTACTCCGCAAGGTTCAGCAATTCACTTCGAATAAGACCAACAGTGATTTCTTTGTTGAATTTTCGCTCCTCGTCTGAATATATCACCTGTAAGAGAAAAATTGAACAACCAACACAGATTAAGAGATGATTCCAAACATATAAGGCAGCAATGGACCCATGCAGAATACCATAGCAATAATTAGCAAGTATTCATCACTTAATCTATTTAAATAAAGTGCTAACAAAAGCAAGAGAATAACGAGAAAGACAACTTTTATAGCAGTTCTTGAATTCTCTTTACAAATAAAACATGTTCAGAATCCATAGCAATGAAGTTAATGGGATCCCATAACCAATATTAACAGGCAAACAATGCAACTTGGCTGTTTTATACACCAAGTAAAAAAAAGCCTCATTCCAAATGCGGAACAGAGCATACCCAACTAGTAAGCTCTTTAACAGCAAGCTTGCAAACATCACGGACAGCAGCCAGAATAGCAAGATGGGCACTGACATGAAGACTATTGGATGCATTCTCATATATGCCTTTGAAAACCTGCATATGCATCCAGAAACAGAATCAGTAAAATTCACAATATAAAGAGACAAGCAAAAGATAAAAGTTAACCCAAAAATTGGTAGAACACCTTTTGAGCCACAGCCAGTGCAGCCTCGTCCCTACTTACACATCTGAGTATGATTTCAGGTACCTCAGAGATCAGTCCCTAAAACAAAAATGTCAAGGGTTAAAACATTGCTCAAATGATATAACCAAACAAAAAAGAAATTTAATCATCAACATATAACAAAAATAAATTAGTAGACTAAAGTTAAAAATACCTGGATGTCAGCTTCTCTACCATCAGTTGCCCCCAAACTTTCCAACTGAAATTATTTGACAAAGAGACATATTTTGACAAGACGTTACTTTTTAATAAAGAAAAGTCCCAAGTAGTAAGAGCAGAAGAATAAGATGAATTGAAACAATAGTCTAAGAGGCATCCTCTCATATCTATTGTGAGAAACCATGTTCCCCGTTTCATGCCAGTCTTCCTTGAGAGGAGATCCAACAGTTCTAAAACAATTAAGATATTTCTAGAATGTAGATGATAGTGTACATCAACCACAACAACCGGATAGTGAAAATACATAACAAATTTTCCCAGGTCCCAAAAGATAACAGAACAAATAGCGCAAGAAAGAAAAATAATAGAGTTTCATTCAACCTTCAGAGCAACTATCTGATACTTATCCAATGCATCCCTTGTGCTCAGTGAAGCCTCCGAGATGCTATTTCCAAGACGCTCAGTGACAGCAGATGAAGGTACCGGCTGTTGTGTAAGTCCCAATTCCTAGCAACAAATTGGGAGCATGTGTCAACAAAAATGCTCGACTCTAACAGTACAAAAATCCATCCATATGAAGTCCCTTACTTTTACAGCATCCGTGGTATCCACTGATTGTAATTCAGGGTCAATAGTTGTGGAAGGGAATGAAACATTGAGGGGATCATTTTCAGTAGTCTGCTGGGTAAGAGCAGCTCCTGTGCCAATATGGATTGAGGAAGCACTGAAATAAAAAAAATTATTAGCAAGGAAACCAGAAAGAAAATAAAAGGAATCAAAGGGACCAAAGTTTCATTTTAAACACCTCAAAAGAGCAGCTGATGTAGTTTCAATTGCCTCTGACGCAACATCCAATTGTCCCAAGTTCCCTGGGCCGGATGTGTAACCAGGAGTACCTTGCCCTGATGTTGAACCAAATGTGGCAGTAAGACTAGCTTCGCCAGATAAGCTTGAAGGACTGGCAGATATAGCATGCGAACTCTGGCCAGATTGATTTTGCAAAGGAAGCCGAACAAAGTCCTAAAAGATAAAGAGGACAAACAAGCATGAAGGAGCAACTCTCAGCACCTTCTCAAAATCAAAGCAATCTTTGTTCAAATGGTTAATCAAAACTACCTCATAAACTCGCTGCTGAGAGAGAGACAAGTGACCTGGTTTAGGTCGAAGAGCCTCGGGCACAACACCCACAGAACCTTGCCCATACATGCTTGGATCGAAAAATGTGGGATCCCTATGCTTTCTTCTTAAAGCAAGTTGGGTAGCTATCTCTCCATCAATAGTTTGTATTGCCTATATATTAAAGCCAAGAAGGAAAAGTATAGAGTTAGAACAAAGAAAAATACAAGATTAGTCAAAATGCATTCACTATATGCCAATTTTATAAAAGCCCCCCTTTATGCAGAACAAAACTTCATCCACGCAGACAAAACTACAACATGAATCATGAATTACTATGGAGAAGCCTAGAAACCAAAATCTGAATAAACAGTGCATCACAGAAGGTCCATGGAAACTTAAGTCCTGCATGAAAAACCTTGTTTTTATAGGAGCATTTAGTCACTAAGCACCCTACTCAAGAATCGAATCCAAGAGATTCAAAAAAAATTAACTTACGAACCAAGTTAGGAGCCAATCAATAGACCAAGCCCATTAGTGATACTTAGCATTTAGCTCAATGAAACATGTGTACACAAAGTACTATTTACCAAAGGAAACAATCTAACCTTATCTGTAGCAGCCTGCTCAATCACCGCACAGCCAAGATCAAGGTTATCATTGGTAACAAGCTGAACAGCTTGTTCTAGAAGATCACTGCCAATACTCAATCCCTGAAGTGAACTCCTCAGATGACTTGATATAGAGCCACGTAAAGGTTCCTAGAATACCAAAACAAGAGATGAAAATCATATGATATAGTTGACAAGGTATAGAATAAAAAAAATACAAGATGTAAGATAAAACCTTGCATGTGACATGTGCTAGACTTCCAGCCAAACTTGCAACCATCAAGTGTGCTGCATTATAGATCCTTGTCTCATCCGATTCCATAGCATAATCCTAAATTGAATATGATTGAATTGTTTTAAGACAGAATAGTTATTGAATGTCTTGCTCAAAAAGATAGTTTTAAGCATTCAAAGATGATTCCCAAGCATTTCAGAAAGATGCATGGATTTCCCTATAACTAAAAGAAGACGATTCTAAATCATATGAACATAGAAACTTGAAAGAAACGATATCCAATGATCGCGAAAAGAAACAATAGCTTTATATGGATAAAAAAGAGAAACAAATTGAACTCTAATAAGAACAAACACTAGAAAATAAAGAAAAGTTTCATTGCAAGGACATATTTATTAAAAATAAGCTAAAAGCAGTGGAGCTATTATGAAGAATGAAATGTATTGAATCGAGTTAAATGTGTTTGGACTTGAAGTTTTATTGTCTTGACCCTTCATACCTTTAAAACAAGCTCCTTTGTTGTTTGAGTTGCTATAGAAACACTGCGCTGAACAATACCAGCTACAATCTCTTTGATAGCTCTGTCCATTGACATTGGAACTACCCTGCAGCACATTATATGTAGAGTTCATCACCAAGGCACCAAACAATGGATACAACAAGCAGGAAGCAATATGGTGACAGCACAAAACCTCTGGAAAGGCAAGTGCAATCCTAGAGAACTGAGCTTCTGATTGATAATAATGTGAGTCCCAATGTTAGGAATTGAAGCTGACAGCTGCAAAGAAGAAAAGGATCAACAATCTAAAACATTATAATTCTTAACATCAAAGAATGAAAACAAAAAGCGACCATGCCTGACTAACAGAAAAGGGTGACGGCAATGGAGTGGCTTGAAATAGCCCTTGTGCAGAAGGAAGCTGGTCAGACAAGCCTAAAGCTGCGAGTTTCTCATCCTCCGTTAATGCACCAGAAGAAAGACGCAAGGGGCCAGCATACTAAAACAACTCCAAGAAATAAAATATTAACACATGTAAACTGCTAAAAGCAATAGCCACAAAAAAACAGCAACTACTACAAAACCAAAGACCTGAGATGGCAATTGTGTAGGCCCGCCAGAATTAGGTGGACTAGCACCCTCGAGAGATAAATCAGCATGATTAAGAGGAGAAACTATTCCAGATTTTTCTGCAACCATTGAGGCTTGGGATGCCCCAACATCTTTATTAGAGAAATCCGGGTTGCCCTCAAGTTCTCTTTTACGATCCTTGAGAAGACAAGTTGGTGCAATGTCCTTCATATCCACACTAAGGTTCTTGAATAAAACCTACAATACCAAAGAGAAAAAGGCAGGAAGTTAAAAGATTATCAAACTTCTGTGAGGGAGGCCTCAATATTGAAGAAAACAAGACCTCGTATTCATATGCATGG